GTTTTTAATCATCGGTAATCTCAGAGTTACTGTGCCTCAGTCAAAACTATCGATGTCGTAATAGTAATGTAAACCAGGTCAGTGACCAGAAGGTTAAGTGACCGTTAGCAACTTGTCCACTTGGCTACGTCGCCACACTTTTTCTGTCCTTGAAATATTTAATAGTTGGCAACCTGGATTCTTCGGCCAACTCCAAGTCCCTGTCCAAGGGTTCTTGCAGTTGACGTTAAAACAAGAAAAAATGCTTTTCAAAAAAAAAAATTTTTTTTTTCCAAAAATATTTCAAATAGCATCCTCACTAATAAAGCAAGTCATATTAAGATTGGTTTTCATATGGAACGGGGGTTCCCAACACCTGGTCCTGGGACCGGTGTCGGGTACCAGGCCACAGTGGGATATAGTAAAAAAAAAGTACTTTTTGGAGTTTTACTAATTTACTTAATTCAAAAAAAAAAAATCCGGTCATATCCCTTTACTTTTTTTCATTCAAAGATAATCTGTAAACGTTTCAAAACAGGTCAAAGGTAATTCAGACTCTGATCCTGACAAAAAAAGTCTAAAAGACATTTTATTTTGAAAAATTCAACTATTTAATAGGGATGTCCGATATTAAGTCTTTGCTAATATCGAATATTAACCGATATTGTCCAAACAGTTAATTTCCCATTCCGATATCAACCAATACCGGTATAGGCCTGGTTATATTTATTTGTTATGAGCTGCAATGGTGCCATCTGGTGTCTTTAACTGTCATTTACAGCCGTTTAGCCCCAGAACTATTTTGAGGTCACGCATCATTTGGAGAAACCCATGTATTGCTTTATCAGGTTTTCATTATCAGAGAAAAAAACCCAGTAATGATTCCTGCAGATATCTCAAAATTATGCTAATAATATCGGACATCCTTACTATTTAACCAATTTGTTACCAAGTACGGGTCCGTGGTAATGGCTGACACCAGCTGACCGGTCCATCTTGTGGATTCTGTGCCTCAACCGTGTTAACATAGAAGAACGTTTGCAAATGTAGACGTACATTTTTTGGACCAGAACGTTTTAATAACAGGAAAGTTCATAACAAGGATGTAAAGTCAAATAATGACTTCACTCTAGTGACACTACACGATTACACGTTAATGACAATGCCGGTCGGAAATGCCTTGCTTCTCTCGTCTTACGTTTGTTTTTGTTTTTTTGATAGGATGTAACTGTTGTTTTGGTTCGATTTTTAAAGACATCTTTCTGATTTCATTTCAGGGGAGTTGCCCCTTGCCCTCACTCCTTCAATCTAACAGAGATCTGGTTCTTCTTTGTGATTGGCTCAAAAGCAGCAGTGAATTGTCCTTATTATTAAAGACAGCCTAATATTTGCAGGTCCACTGTATAAAGCCCAAGCTGTTTGAGATATTCCGGACAAGCGGGCTCGCATCCTGTCGGCCAGAGTTCCACTAAAGCCTCGGAGTCGATGGGGAAACGATACCTGATAGACAGAAGGTATTCCACACATCAGAGTCTGATTGGACGAGAACACACACAGGTGAAGGAATGAAGGGGGGGACACACTGACCTGTATCTTTGGCCAACTGTGTACTGTGACCCGCGGGATCCCATCAGCAGGTACTGCTTATTATTCTGGATGTCCACAGAGGGGCAGGTGGCCTTTTTTACTAGTTCTATCTCTGTTAATGATCTCACCGCTTCAAAATCTAGAAAAGACAACAACATAGGTCTTACAATCTGACCTTAGTAACTTCACGAACCTTCATGAACAAATTAAGTTAAAAAAATGAGGTTCCACCATATATACTATATATATATATATGCATATATATTTATAGTATATACTATATACAGTATATATATATACGTATATATACTGTATATAGTGTATATATAGTATATATACAGTAAATATATACTAGTAAAGCCTAGTACACCAGCTACATATACTGTATATATACATATATGTATATATAGACATATATACATATATACGTATATATGTATATACATGCACATAGTTTACATATATAAATATATACATATATACATATATGTATATATATACACTATATACAGTGTTTGCAGTATATATGTATATATGTGTATATACATGCATATATACACTTATATACATATATTTTATATATATTTATATATATATACATATATACACTTATATATATTTAGATATATAGTATATTAATATGTACATACACAGTATATTTATATCTATATATAGTGGATTAAAACGTGATTCATTTGTGAGTAACAATGGACAATCATATGTTTATATGTTTGTTAATCCCTTGAGAGTTCCCTTCGGGACATTTAGGAACAGTTCTAACAGTTCCAACTATTCTCCATCATTGGCGGTTGCCTAGTCTGAAAGCATTGCCTGCAGTGATACCTTTAGCTGAATTCTTCAGGACTTCTTCCACGGTGGCTGTGTAGGTCATGAAATCTCCCTCAGCTGCAGAGGACTTCACCCTCACCTTGTAGGCTGCAGGAGTGCCAACAAGCGGGGGGGGGGGGGGGTCAAATACCTGTGCCTGCGTTTACACTTGAAGTCTTAACGTTGGTGTGAAAGTTTTTTTTTCACCGTATAAGATGTGTGGTCTGCAGGTCTCCTCCATACGTTTGGCTGACGTCAGTGTCAGGTCTGGTTTCCCTCTGTAGGTAGCACAGGCCACTAGATGGCGTGATAATGAAAGAACACAGGTACTTAAAAAAAAAATGAAACAGCTGCTCAGTTCTACTGTTTGTTATTCAGTTTTTACCTGCCATGCATTGACACTCTTGCCCCAAACAGAGGCGCTGTAGCTTTTGCTCCTGGTATAAGAAGGGTTTCGTGCACATGCTGCCTGCAAGTGGAAATTACTGTCATTTAGTGTTGTTTTTTTTAACAAGTGAATCGTCGTCCTTTGATCGGACATGGGCAGACCTAAACGGTACATCACTCAAATGAGGTTTTTAAATGGCGGTTAACCCAACGACGGATGACATCACGGATGCACAGATGTGTTTCGGTTGGTGACTCACCTTTGTCTTGACTCTCGTACATGGTCATTACGGAGCTGGTGACTCCAGTCACCGTGAATCTGGTCCTGATCCGAAATCCGAAGCACAAGAAAATGTCAGATGGAACCTGTGTAGAGAGGTCTGTAAATATAACACGTACTGTCTGTGACCTTCAGGTCAGCTTGATTCGTTAGTAGGTGAAAAGGAAATCACACGGTGTCTCCGTGTGAACTAAAAAAAAACAAAAAAACAACTGTTGTCAGTTTTGTAACTTTTGATTCCACGTAGACTGAACGAGAGAAGTGAGTGGATACACGGTGGAACCTCGAAAATACGAGCGTGGCCCGACATACGAATATTTCTCGAGATACGAGCAAGCCGTCGAGTACGATTTCGCTTCGAGATACGAGTAAAGATTTGAGATACGAGCATGTCCACATGTTCGTTGACTTCTGTACGCATTACTTTTGTGCATTACTCTTCATAATAGAGTCTTAAGAAAGTAAGTGGTAAGGATGGTAGTGAGACGAAGAAACGCAGGATGACCGTGGAAGTAAAGCATGGAATTGTCAATAAATATATATTTTTTCTTATGGGTATCTTATAGATATTTCTTATGGGTAAAAATGACTCTAGTTAGTCCTGGAACAAATTAAGTTAAAAAAATTAGGTTCCACCATATATACTATATATATAAATATATATAAATATATATATATGTATATATATATATATATATACACACACACACATATATATATATATACATATTTACATATATATGTATATATATATACATGCACATAGTATACATATATACACTTATATACATATATTTTTATATATATTTATATATACAATATATACTCTGTATGCAGTATATATGTATATACAGCATACATGTATATATATTATTCTCGTATCTCGAGGTTCCACTGTGTACTGGCTCGACGTGTAGTTTTTTATATATTACTTTGAGTACCACCATATTATTTAGCCCCCAGGTGGGGCTGATGATGTGCGTGTCATCGTGTTAGCGTGACTCACTGTGTCCATCTGGATGACCACGGTACTGCCCTTCAGCTCGTAGTGGGAGATCATTGGCTCGTCAACGTCTCTGAACTGTAACACAACACTTTCCCACATAGGATCAGTACTTCACGACAACAACAGAGTAACAATGTAATACCGCACTCACGTCTCAGTGACGAGTATCTAGGAATGGGAACCAAAGTTCAGTACAGGTTTAAACCGGGTTTGTCACAAACAATGGCGGAAATGAAACAGCAGTCAGACAAAGATTATAACCTGACACCGTGAGACCGTGAAACAAACCATACACTTCACTTGTCCTTTGTTCCTGTAAGTAATAAGGATGGCATGATCCGACACTCGGGGATCAACATCGGTCCGATATTGGTCAAAATCTCAGGATCTGACGTAGTAAAGAAAACCAACTACAGCCTGTCCGATCCGATACCTTAGCCCTAATTCTCTACTTTACTTTGACTGGGGACACTATCACCTCAGCAATGGCAGGCCACTGCATGCTGGAGGAGCAAAGAAGGTATCAGTATTGGCAGATACCTCAAGTTGCAGAACTGGTATCTGTATCGTACATGGAAAAGCTGTATTGAGCCGTTCTTGTAGTAGTACTACTATCCGCAGGAACTTAAAGGCAAAGGATTTTTTCACTACAAAATTTGACAGTTGTGTCTATCTGCTACGTGGGGTACCTATGAGGTCCAGAGTGATGAGCTCACCGGTTTTAGGTCCTCGAGGTACGCTTCCACACCCGTGGGCAGCTGGATGTTGATCACAGTCATAGAGGACTGTTCGTAAACCTCGTTGGGGGGGGGTTTGTACCTGTGACGCACACATTTCTGGAGGTTAAAACACAAGTGGACTACATACTGTATGGCACATTAGGTTCTAAGCACGGGTCGAAGCCAGTGAAGTGAAAGAATGAAAGGCGAGTTAAACCAAAGCTTTCCTACTTCACACAGGTGACCAGACGGGGGCTCTGCCCACGGCGATCTGTGGGGAAGGAGAAAAAGAAACCAATGGACTTATGATGTCACTTATGATGTAAATACTCTTATACAAATACTCACCTGGGAAAGACTCAGGTCCGCCCACCTCTATCTTAATGTCAAAGTTACATTTTTGGGAGGAGGAGCTGGTTTCATAATAAACAGTCTTCAGCTTTGAACGCAGTCAGACATTTAAAAAAAAAAAGGAGGTCAGGATTCAAGATATTCACAGGTTCAATTTAGTTAATTCAGCAAACACAAACCAACCTTCACAGTTGAGACACCGGTACCGAAACCAGTGGACACGATAATATTGTCATCGTTTGTCACCTGAGGACCAAAGACATAAAAACGTTTCATGCTTTGATACCGTATCTGTTTCATGTGCAAGTTTGGTTGTCCGATCATTTTTGTGAGGGGGTTTCCTTCTTACACCCGTCTCACTGACGTGTACCTGATGCTGTCTTACCTCCAGGGGTCTGGCAACAGGTCTGGTCTTGGTGAGTTCAACTTGCGCAAGCAGTCCCTTCCTACTGTAGCGGACATTGATTTCCTGATTAAGGACTGTGTGAGGGACGATCCGCTTGTACTCTGTCAAACCCTGCATAGTCAGGACAGTGTCCTGGGGGGGCGGACGGTCGAAGGTTAGTGTGACAAAGGGACATCGAAGTTGGCCGCGTGGGTGTTTGACCGTGAGAGAGACCATACTTGTACTGAGTAGAAACCCTCTCCATAGTGCTGGTCCTGGGACAACCATGACAGGATGGGTTTAGTGTAGGGGATTCTCCCCTTCATTAAAAAAACAAACAAACAACAAAATGACTTTAATGAATAAAACTTCATTAAAAAATTTTTTAAAATATTTTACTCAGCAGAGGGCAGCACTTTTAGCAACATAGCCAGCAGCACGTATGCTGTCGTCTCCACCGTCATAGCACTGGACTCATCAGGTTTCAGCCAGTCCGCCGGTGCGTCGGACTCTACCCAGTACCTGAGTACGACAGGGTTACCTGTATGTACACAGATACACACTTGTGTCTGTTAAATAATAATATCAGTTTATTTGCATTTGTTTTTGATTTTCCACCCCAGGCTACGCTCCATCACTATTGTCTAGCCCCACTTTGCTAATAGCTAAATCGATGTTTCCCGAAAACGTCACAAACTTTCGTGACCCAAGTCAATAGACACTATTCATAAACTCCTGGAAAACATGATGCAAGACAACCCAAAAAAAAAAAATTGCGACCCACCTGAGGGTCGCGACCCAGTCTTTGGGAAACAATGAGCTAAATAACCTGACCTCTGTGGTCAATGTCTAAATAAATACCACTGACACAACATCTACTGTGATTGAAACATCTATTTTTGCTCAACACACATACATCCAACATTTACCCACGCACCTTTCTGTCGCGCTAGTTTTTCAAGGCTTAGTAACAGCTGAGAGACTTCAATGCTGTTGGGATCGTATAGGGTCAGAGCATAGGTTGCAACTGCTTTCACGTATACACTCTTGATGCCGAGGGCATGTTGGGAAATGTAGTCTGCGGCGGATCGCATGCTGTTTTCGTGGGACTAAGAAATATGAAACACAAATGAAAAGATGAACTGGTTACAACGGTATTTGGGAAAGAGGTATTTCTCTCAAACAAGATGAAAAAAAAGAACCTGGAAAAAGATACAAGGAGTAAAGGAAATTGCTGTGTCTCAATATTCAATTCTACTAAAAGAAAATCAAGAAACAAGAGACTCTTTTCTTACCACAAGCTTCAGGACTTGATCTTTGATGCTCGTGGCCCTGGTCAAGGCTATCAGCACGAAGGATGTCAAATAGACTGCCCGATCTGTCGCATCGCCCCCTGCGGCCTGCGGGCAATCAAACAAATTTCGCAACTGAATATCAACTAGCAGTGGACAAGCACGAGGACACGATCAGCCGCTGTGGACTGACCATTATCTTGTTGGGGCTGATGGAAGACGTGTCTTTGAAGGATCCATCCTGCTGCTGAGCTTCCTGGATCATCCAGAATATAGAATTAGACATGGCCTCGTGGTCCATGGGGATGGCGCCATCTACCAGGGACAGTGTATTCACCACCAGAGCAGTAAGCCTGAAAGACAGCACAGACAAATGTACTGTCTGAATGTACGATTTTAGCCCGTTTTTGACCCGGTTTTTGAGACGCACGACCTGGCGACGCTTGGCCCGATCTCACACTTCAGCCGTTACGGCCGATTATGTGTTCCCGAACCACCATCGGACGGTCAGGGGAATTTCCGACATGTCAGAAATTTTGGTCGGCCGACAAATTCTTTCGCACAGTGGAAGCAGAGCCCCGAGCCGACCGGAGCATTTCTCCCCCAGTGCGCCTGCGCAAAGTGATAGTAACCATGGCGAGGCGTCGGTGACATGAAAATATGGAGGCGAGATTGACAGAGCTGTGGCACCGTCCACAATAAACGTAATAAATAATAAATAAACAATAAACGTACTGTCCACGTTTATCGAGCCATCTCCGACTCCAGATGCGCCTCTTCTTTGTCGAATTGTCAGCGCACAGTATCGCTGCAATCATAATGGCAGCCTTCTTCTTTTGGATTAGCATATTGCTAATGACCGGCGTCAGAGCTTTCAAATGTGAGTACATAAATCGTGAGCTTTGTCCGTACATCACTCGTACAGTGCGTGATGTTATCAACGACACAAGACTTTCAAAAATCGTACCGTGTATGCCCGCCCTTTAGTCGGAGGTGCCTTGCTCAGAGCACCTCAGTGGCAACTTGGCAGCTGAATGAACGCGAATCTGAAACCTTCTGGACACAAGTCCGCTTCCTTAGCCGCTAAGCCGCCACTGCCCCATAAAACAGGTATTTTAACCCTCAATCAAAAACAAATAAACGGTGTCAACTTAAGGTTTTCACCAGAAAATAAGTGGATAAATAATTGATAAAACGGTTGACACTTTGAAGCAGGTTCCAGAAGCGAGGTCGGATCTAGCAAGAAACTGGAGTTCTCATATGGAGGACGCATAAAATCCAGAATTCAAAAAAGTATTTTGTATCGCCCTCGTGATAGTGACTAGGGAATTTGGGAATATTGATTGATTGCCATAAAATACAAAGTATATTCTACGAAATTCTTGGCTTCTTGAGGTCACCGCCATTTAATGAGTTAGTTGCCGTCTAATTTTTTTTTTTTGACAACAAAATGCCAAAAAAACAATTGGTGAAAATGTTACGGATTGACGTGTTTCTAAAGGTAAGTGCATTTTTGAACTGCAGTATTGTGTACTTTGTACTGCACAACCATCGCGAAGTTAGTCATGAAGCTCGGACTCCAAGTCTCACCAGGTGCTGGGTTTTTGTTTTGTCCACATGCTGTAACTGTTGTCTCCATTTCTGAAGGAGCTGAGACCAACCAGACCTAAACACCCACACAAACACAAGTAAATATACACCACACTGTCAACAAGGCTGGTTAGCATCTTTAGCTATCTGCTAACCCTGCTTAATCAAATGTGTCACAGAGGCTGCGTTCTTTTGGATGTCTGGTCCTAGGGCGTCCCAGGAGGCCGTCGTTTCCAGGTACTTATACACAGTGATGAGGAGGAGGACTCCATTGGCCTCCGCCTCCGCCGACCCGTCGGGCATGTTGATGAGCTGTTTCAGGCCTTCAGGTTTGTGCAACACATTCAGGATGTCGTTCAGAATTTCACCTACGAAAACAGACAAACGGAGAAACCAACCGTCAGCTTCTGGTTTGTTTCCGTGTGACGGTTCATCTCGTGTCAGTTTCACCATTGATGGTCAGCAGCCGCTCCACGTCTGTGTTGGGGACGACGTTGGTTGGGAGGTTGTTTTTCAGTGTCACAACTCTTTTCTCTGAACCTGTGAAGATTCAAAGATGCAAAACGTCGTTTTGGTTTTTTTTTTCACACATCTGAGGAGAGACACGTACGCCAAGCTGACCTCATACGTACCATAGATTCCCCGGGGGTCGAGGGTCCCTCCAGAATACTCCTCTTTCCTCACCCCTTCAGGCTGAACACACAACCAAATAACAAAGGATACTGACTAGGGGTGTCGGGGTTAATGCTACTGCCTTGCATCCATCCATTTGTCCTTCCATTCATCCATCCATCCATTCATTCATCCATCCATCCATTCATCCACCCATCCATCCATCTATTCGACCATTCGTTCATCTATCCATTCGTTCATCCATCCATTCACAGATCCATCCATCCATCCATTCGTCCATCTGTCCATCTATCTATTCATCCATCCATCCATTTGTCCATTCATCCATCCATTTGACCATCCATCCTTTCATCAATCCATCCATTCAACCATCCAATCGTTCATCCATCCATTCACCGATCCATCCATTCATCCATCCATTCGACCATTCGTCCATCCATTTGACCATTTGGTCATCCATCATTCATCCATCGATTTGTTCATCTATCCATTCATCCATTCATACATTCGTCCATCCATCCGTCCATCCATCCATTCATCCATCCATCCATTCGACCATTCATTCATCCATCCATCCATTCGACCATACGCCCATCCATTCATCCATCCATCCATCCATCCATTCGTCCATTCATTTGACCATTTGTTCATCCATCCATTTGTCCATCTATCCATTCATCCATCCATACATTCGTCCATCCATCATTCATGTATCCAATCATTCATTCATCATCCATCCATTCGACCATTCGTCCATCCATCCATCCATTCATCCATCCATTCATCCGTCCATTCGTCCATCTGTCCATCCATTCGTCCATCCAACCATTGGACCATTTGTTCATCCATTCATCCATCAATCCATTCATCGATCATTCATTGATCCAACCATCCATTCATCCATCCATCCGTCCATCCATCTATTCATCCATCCATTCATCCATCCATTCGACCATTTGTTCATCCATCATCCGTCCATCCATCCAACCATCCATCCATTCATCCATCCATCATCCATCCATCTATCTATCATCCATTCATCCATTCATCCATTCATCCATCCATCCATCCATTCATCCATTGATCCATTCATCCGTCCATCCATCCATCTGTCCATCCATTCGTCCATCCATCCATTAGACCATTTGTTCATCCATCGATCCATTCATCGATCCATCCATCCGTCCATCCATCCATTCATCCATCCATCTATTCATCCATCCATCCATTTGTCCATCCATTTGACCATTCGTCCATCCATTCATCCATCCATCTTTTCATCCATCCATCCATTTGTCCATCCATTCGACCATTCGTCCATCCATTTGACCATTTGTTCATCCATCCATCCATCCATCCATCCATCCATCCATCCATCCATTCATCTATCCATATACCAACCACTACTCGCAGCTTCTTCTCGATGATGTCACCGGTCCCGTGGCGATTCTTCAGAGTGAAGGTCAGGGTGTGTTCTCCAGGGTTCAGGCTCAGCAGGATGAAGGTCACTTTGCCGACGCCGCCGGCAGGAAGTTTTCTCCATGTGCAGGGCGTGGATCGCAGGTCACGTGAACCTGCAGCTTCCTCGGAGTTCAGCAGACAGAAGGCCGGACCGGCTGTGAGTGTCACGCAGTACTGTGGACGAGACAACATCAAGATTCAAATCTCTCCACGACGTCGTCCACCTGATGCTCAACGACACCAGGGCGTGTGTATGTGTGTGTGTGTGTGTCAGTACTGTGATGGAATCCAGCTGATGGTTGTACACTGAGCCATGCAGTTCCAGCTGTTCTCCTCTGACCACCTGATATGGCAGAGGGATGTCCACACTGAGAGGCAAGTTGACCGTCACCTGGACGGGATCCGCAACACAGATACCTACAGGACGAAGGACGACGATGTAAAAAAAAAATGCGTGAGAGAAATAACAAAGGAGTGTCGGGTGTGGAGACGAACGGAGATAAAAGTCGGATTAAGAGACGAGAACGAGGGTTGGAGATTTGGAGATGATGTTAGGATGAGGACAAAGGTGACTGGGAACAAGTGACTAATGAAGAGCAGTGGGACAGTTATAGGTTTAACTCCTTGATTAGTTTGTGAGATGAGTCAAAAAGAGGATTTTGACCAAAGATCTACTGTTAGATGAGTTGGACCTAAGAGTCAGGGAGGCTGGAGGACGTCAACATGTTCACATCAGCTGTGTTTTTACCACAAACTATAAAATAATGATGGATTTTTAGATGGATGGATGGATGGGTGGATGGATGGATGGATAATGGATGGATGATGGATGGATGGGTGAATAGGTGGATGGATGGGTGGATGATGGATGGAAGGATGGGTGGATAGCTGCATGGACAGATGGATGGATGGGAGAATAGATGGAAGGATGGATGAATGGATGAATGGATGAATAGGTGGATGGATGGGTGGACAAATGGATGGATGGGTGAATAGATGGATGGATGGATGAATAGGTGGATAGATGGATGGGTGAATAGGTGGATGGATGGATGGATGGGTGAATAGGTGGATGGATGG